AGCAACAGATGGCGGATATTTTAGCGCTTTCGAAAGTTCCTGCTAATCTGTTGATTGAATCCGAGCAAAAAACGCGAAAACATGAGGATTTCGATGACGAGTCAAGGTTCACCAATGTATCCGTTCAGAAAAAAGATCTTGAAGCACCGAAACGTAAGTTACTTGTTTGCATTTATGAAATTCGACTGATTTCAGTGACATTCATCGGTCCTCTAAAACCAGGAAGACTGCTTAAAATAGGGAATCCAATCGTAAAATGTAGCACAAGCGATCCGTTCGAATTTCAGGCTCGGGTGAACAGTGTGGAGATCATGAGCTTTTGAGCGAGCACTCGAGAATGGTAAAAACTGTAGCAAATGCTGTTGATGAACGAAGAGCACTCTGCGGGAATGCGCATGCTGAACATATGATAAGGTTTGGCTGCTTAAATTCGACTTGCATATTTATTCAGATGATCCAAATCGGAATGTTGCCGATCGGAATGAACTTTAGGCAATCGATATGCTTACTGATTTATTTTATTTTGAAGAGTGTTTCTTATTGCGATGTTGATTTCAGAGAACTCTACACGGCCGCACAGATCAACCGCGGTCCACCGGGTGTGTCGAGTGGCTCTCGTTTGCATTGGGATGTTTTGTTGGGACGAGATGAAACTCTGGACGCTGCTGACTATTTGAATTTTGAAGCAGACGCGAAATTTTGATTAATTCAAGTCATCGACTGTATTTACGCGTTGTTATTGTTTTTTTTTTCGGAACAGCATATGAAGAATTTTCTGAAGTTTCAGTTTTTAGAAGAATCCATCGGTCACATTAACATTTAGCTATAATTTTCGAAATGGGGTTCAATGAGCCATTTGCTTTATTCATCTGTTATTCAGTGATGAATGCAGAAGTTTGTAACTTGTCGATTTCCCATCTGACTAAATTTCATTCAAGGAAAGTTGTTATGAATTGAGGCTTTTGCGTTTATGATCAGTTTTGTCTCTCTATGCGATTTGCACTCCGAAATCCGTTTGTTCCACGATCGCATATGTTTATTTGTCATAATGAATAAATTTGATATATGTTTGTTCCTCCAATCTATTCGCAAGCAGTTTTTGATCTCTATGATACATAGCTGAATGATTTTGAATGTTCATTGCAGTTTGCTCTGAAATCAATAAGTAGAGCGTATCAATTCGTGATCTATTCCATAGTTATGAACTCATTTGAAGCATTTCTAATGAGGGCGATTGTGTTCATCTTAAAACGACATTAAATCAGATGTTGTTTCGGTGCTTACAATTAGCGATAATGCTGAAACCATAAATAGTTCCAAATAATTTCTTGTTTTTCTTTTTTTCTTACAATCATTCAACGTGAACCGCTGGTAGTTCGATTCACACAGATCCGTGGCGTTTCTTTGAGTACCTGAATGATGAACACAATGAACGTTTACGTTATCTAGAAATCAACGAGTTCTCAGTTGCTAAATGTTGTGAAGTGGCGCAGTGAAACAGTAAGCGCACTCGCAGACTCCGCACTGAATTGACGACAAAATGATTCCATCAGCTGGCGTCGGTGGAGCAAGAGGAGTGGTGGGTATGATGGGTCAACCGCAAGGTACCAATCCAGTCAGACTCTGATATATCACCAGCCAAAGTGATAGTCATAGTGATTATGATAATCGTAGTTTTGATTACCATTGAAACTATGCTAGTATTGATAGGATATAATGGGGAATGCGGTGCTTCGACGTTGTTGTGTTGTTTCAACTTTCTTCAATAACGCTTGATCCGTTTAACCTTCTTTCCATATTCATCATTTCNCATTGCTAATCGAGATGCTGTATACGGTAAAGGCAATGCTATGGTGTAATATCAGTTTTCAGAAATGTTATTAGGCATTCACTAATCAGAGGCAATCTGGTTTTCTAAGTGAATTTTTCATATCACTGGTTACCAAACAATTTGTTGTTGCTGTAACGGTTACACCATATCAAAGATCCTGTTCACATGTGCGTGCTTGTTGAATTTCAGTTTTCTATCGCTTTTCTAGTTGCTGCATTGATTTCTCCTTCCCAAACTCATTCAAATTTCCTAAAGCAATCTATCTCGTCGATCATCGTTCTTTCAACCCAATCATTCCAATGCTTTAATGGCCGCCAGAGCGGTAGAATCGTGATCTGATGAGCGTGTTCGATTTAGCTTTCGAAGTCACTTTTCGGATGAAAGCTACACGGAAATTAATCGCTACTTCTCACCATCAGTGAATTTGTTGTGTTTTGTTGCATTTCGTGTTGTCGTTTTCGATGTGATTTTTCGACATTTCATTTTTCGATCATTTCGAGAATTTGGAAATTTGAATTTGTCGTTTTCTATCTGATGCTTTCCTATGTACAGTGTGTATGCATTGTGGCAAATTTTGGCTTCTAGTTCACGCATTCGTCGCATTTTTTCTGTCGCTTTTATGATAGTGTGATAGCGGTGTTGTTGGTGGTAGTTTTTTTTAAGCAACACGATAGTCAATAGAGTGGAATTTTTACATGAAACATGCTTTTTTACTGCAGTCTCACGTCGATTTCTTAGGCGCATCTGTTGTTGTACTGAAATCAATTTCAGGTGCTAGCTATATGGGTGGAGGACCGAACGTAGGATCAGGCGGTGTAGGTGCGGCCTCACACCAGCCGGTCATTCCAGAATCACTTCTGCATCAATCGTTCAAAAATCCGAATTGGCCACCCAATTTTATCACCGCCGAGAATGTGTTGGATTATTTCTGTGATCCCAGCAATGTTTTCTATGATGTGTCATCGTGTAATCAACATTTGAAAATGCAGAATTTGAATCGTCCGCTTCATGAATGCCTTCAGTAAGTGCTTTGTTCAGTGTTCTTCGGCGACACATTACTCTGGCTGAACTGCGATTCATTTCAACAAAGCGATTTGAATTGTAATCCACTTCGTTTGATTGCCCAACGGATGGTAATTGATAGTGAAAAAAGGCGTTGACTGAAATTTTGAGAATGCTNAAAGTGGAGTGACAAAACTGAGTGTTGCATTATCCATCGATTTCAGATCGATGCAAGGAATCCAATTTGCCGTGGTTGGCGCAAATCATCCACTCTATGTAATTGTGAAACAACGTCGAAATAGCCCGACAAACGGTCGGTCACTCTCTTAAGCACGTATTCACTGTTGTAGTTCTGATCAGAAGCGGAAATGTTTTCATTGTTTGATCGCTGAGAAATATTCTCATTTTGCAGTAACGCCGTTGTGTTATTACTATATTGTTAATGGAACCGTTTACCAGTGTCCTGATCTCTACACTTTTGTGCAGTCGCGTTTGATTGGCGTTGTTGATCCGTTGAGGCGAGCACTCGAAAATGCTAGACAATTTTGCAGGTAGGCGCAGTTCGTCGAACTGAACTCAAGCAGTACTTCTATATATTTGAAATAGAAACTATACTTGATGTTTTCTGGAATATTACGACAATTTTCCGTTCTCTCGATATTCTCCTTATTATTAGATGCTAGAAAATTTTTCGTCGTTTTTTGAAAGTTGATATTGGATATTGTTTTAGCGGTAATATTATATTGTTGTTCAGATATGATGTTGCCAAGGGATACTACTGGGAATTCAAAGATTCGAGTGGAGGAGGAGATGATGAAAATGATAAGAAGGTGATTAGTTTCATGAATTTTCCTTCAGTTTTCGAATATTATTTCAACGATAAGACAAAGACAGCGATGAAATTAGCATTTCATTGGAATGGTTTGAATTCAAAGTTGTATGTTTTGTGTTTTACAGGACGATAGTGAAGAGGAGAAGCCTCTAACCGCCCGAAGTACGTTCTTTCAACGAACTCGAACTGAGCAGTTGTTGAGGGATCTTTTCGAGCGATTCCCACCGCCAGACGATGTGGTGAGTTTTATGAGTGTGGCGATTGATTAGAGAAGTGAAGAATTTGATTAGAGTATATTGGCGATTTTGACGTTAATGGAAGAGGTAAATTCTGATTGATGCGATTGCGATGATGAGAAGTCGTGATGTGAGATGGGGAATGTGATGTTGTCAATGAAAGAAATGTGGCTATTGAAAGATGCAACCTGACTGATAAAGATGTGAAATATAGTAATGGTAATCATTATTGTCAGAGTGATAGTAATAGTGATTAATTGGTTTGTCGGTTGCAGAAATTTGAATTCGACGGTGCTGACATGGCCAGCGGTGCTGGCGCTGAGACGTCGAGTACAGCTGATGGTTCATCCGCTCAACGAGGTCAAGGAGGTGCTGCTGGATCGGGCCAAGGCAATGTTCCAGTATCTGAAGGACAACACCATCAAGCGATGTCTCATCAACAAGTGGCTGAGATGAGCTCTAGAGGAAGGCAGGGCATGAACACGGCCAATCCTGCAAGTGTCCCTACGCCGGAATCATCACATCAGAGGCATGCGCTAGGGCACGAGGCTTCGGGTGGACCGATGAGTTTTCCGGGGCAGTCGGGTTCAGGTTCGTCATCGACAGTCATCAATGGTAGTGATGTGAAGCGTTTCAAGATGGAGTAATGTTGCTCCAGTTTTGACAGCTTCAATATCCGATGGGACATGGAGAGTGTTAGGGAAGTGATTTGCGTTGAACAGGAATGTGAAATCCTTTTTTATCGAGTGAACTTGAGGAATTCGAAATTTTTTTATATTTTGAATTGTTCTTTAAGCGCTTCCTAATGCAATAGTTTTTAATTGTTCTTCCAAAACCTGTGTCTAGCTGTTATGATATAGGCATGAAACAGTTAGTTCCCTTTATCTACAAAATAATGAAATGCTCATTGTTAGTAAAAGATGGTTTTTGAAGTTGT